AACCAGAAAAAAAGTTATAAAAAATGAAAATGTTTTCACTTAGCGAATTTTTCCCATAATTTAACTTAAATTAAAAAAAAAATTTCATCCATAAAAGTAAAATCTTTTATTAACATGTGAAATTTAAATTTTTACGACATAATTTATTCATCAATAAAATAACTATTTTTCCTCAAATAATTTTTTATATTTTGTTGTACTTTAAAAAAAAAAATTAAAATATACCTGAAATATTCACCAAATATTTACATTATCATTTTAATAATATGAAAAAATTTCAAAATATTTTAACTCTTTTTAAATTATTTATAGACATAACAAATTTTTAATTTAATTTAGTTTTTTTTTTCTATAACTGTTGATAAAGTATTATTAGCTGGGTCAAAATTCTTAAAAGTATAATAAAATATTCCACATAGGTTGTTCTAATATCTTTATAAAAATATCAAAAATTCATAGGCACAATTTTTTTACATGCATTTAAAGTTAGAATTTTGACGTGAAATTCATTGAACAGAAAAAATTTTATCAACCAACTAAGTAAAATAAATTACTTTAATAGCTATACCAAAAAACATATCATGCAATATATTTGGTAATATAATCTGGCAGTCTGTCTCTGCTTAGAATCGTTTTTCGTAGACAATGATGTATTATTGAATTCAAATTTAACACATTCGTAAAAGTTATCCACTCAAAACCTTATTTACAACAGAGTGGTACTCACTTGCCTAACTTTTTTACTTTGATAAATCATTTTAAAATCAATAGATTGTTCAATCCAATAAGATTTGAAAAACATGTATCTTAGATTAGTTAAAATAAAAATTGAAATTGAAGAGAGGAAAATTGTATTATCTATAAAAATTGTGCATGTACACAAAAAAACCACACACTTATGATTGTAAATGCAATACATTTATCGATTTGCACGAAATCTAAAATAAGTCAAAATGTGGTATTTTCATAAACTTCAATATCGCTTCAGTATCAGTATTATTGATTCTACTAGCCATATGTGTACCCTATTTTTTTCATATGGATCTTAAAACTAATATTGATTTAACATAATGCTATTTATATTATGAATTCATGAAATGTTTACTTGAATTTTAATAAATAAACACCAAAATATTACGTATATTATAGATACCTATCCATTCAAAAAATAATCACACCTATTCTATTTTTTACAAAACAAAATATATGTTCGTTTTTTATTGTTATCTGAATACTAACTATGATTTTTTTTTTAAGTTTTAATAACATTAATAAAATTGTGATTTTATTATAAATTGTAATAATAATTAAGGTACCTAATAATAAACATAATATTGATAATCAAAAAAACAATCATTCATTAATACCATTAATAATACGATTTAACAAATAAATACTCAAATTAATTAAAAATTATAAAACAAGAAACACATTGAAGTAAAATAAAAATACGTTTATATCAATAAAATAAATCATACATAGGTCATAAAATTATTTAGATACTATATTATATTATTCTTAAAGTAAGAAAATCTCACATGAAATTTAGAAAATAATATAATATTTTTAAAAATTTCAGTGGAAAAAAGTACAGTTTTAATTAATTTTTCTAAATCTAGCTCGAAGGCTACAAAATAAACATCATACTTAAAAAACTAAAATAAATTTTCAAAATTATAACTAAAGTAAAACTCAAATCAGTACATTAGAACGGAATCGAACCACATGTGCAGAGTCACAGCCCACGGGTGGCATTCACGAACGTTAAAGCGAATAATAATTATAAAGTGTTACTTGTCAGTAGCCTATAATAACTTCATGTTTACATTATAATAATTGTATCATGACTATGAAATATTTATAATAATAATATGAACGTACATAAACGTTTAAAGAAAAATGTAGTATATAGGGCAGTATGATGATTTGTAGGATCTCTGGTGGAGTACAAAACCATAGACGGACGGCGACGGTGCACTGGTTCGCACAACGTACCGCGTAACCGACAAAAAACTGCGGGCTTTGACAATACAAACGTGAGACGAATAAACTACAGACGAGGGCACCAGTGACGACGAGGCTGGATACGGTCGGAAGCACATCTATACCGATCCTCTGTCCAGAGCACTCCAGATATGACTTAAGATAAATGCAGTGTAAATATATGTGCGTCGACGGCGGAAATCTTGCATAGGACAACGGAATCGTAATCGTGGGAAATTTAAAACGGGGCATTTGTACCTGACAAAAACCATGGAAGTCATTCTGCTGCAAAAAGATTTGGAATATGCGTCGTATTGAGCAGATCGCTGTGATAGATTTGAACTCAATGATAAATAATCGCGAATGAAAGACAATTTAAAAATGAGTACCGGTATATCGCCTCGATTTATACGGATGTCATACAATTCATCTATACGGATAAAAGTTATTTCTTTTTCTTTTAGTAAAGAAATAGATTAGGGGTCACCAACTTATTATTTAGGGTCACTAACGTATGATTTATTAATAATAATCTACGCGAGTGTACAAAAAAAATATATGTATAGGGAGTCGTTAAAAAATTGAAATTCAAAAAAGAGGTCGCCACAGTTAAAGGTTGAGAAACGCTGATCTAAATCATTTTTGAATTACTTACAACTGAACTTTATGTTTACTTAATGAACGATTAATTAGATAAAGAATTTATCGAATTTACAAATATCTACTTTGTAGCCTATATTATAGTACATATTTAATATATAGGTAAAAATGAATATTTGTCTGTTCGTGACTTATGAACTCCTCAACTGCTGAATCGACCTTAATGATATTTATACTTATTATTTAGTAATCATAATACACAGATGAATAACTTAGGCTAAAATTTCTGGTCATTTTTTGTATTTTATTGAAGTTTTAGCCAGTGCGAGTAACGTATAATAACTTTATTATATTAACTTATATGTATAAATTAAGTTGAATTAGGCGAAGAAAATGTCCGTCAAGATGACACACTGGCACTTATTTCAAACACTTCAAATTGGGTACCAAAATTTTTCTATGATTTTTGCTACGTTATTTTTAGAATTTTCTACCTTCTGGTTATTCCTGAAATCCTTGAAAATAAAAAATTTCTCAGCACATTAATCCAATACTATATTTTCAATAATTATTAGTGATTTTTTTATAATTAATACCTATTATACAGAATAAATTTAATTATTTCATTTATTCTGTGACTATACTTTATACAATTTTCCCATATTATCTGCCGTGTGTCCGGAATTTTTCATACTGTTATCCTGAATCTTCTAATAAAAAGGTATACTATATGGATTCATATTTATTTAATAATCTATTTCATGTAATATATGATTATTATTCATAATTATACCGTCTGTCTTAATATAAATTAATTTTATATTATTTTGAAATATGCTTACACTAAATAATTACCTATACATAATATATATATATATATATACCTAGACTTTAGCATTTTTTTCTAATTAAACTATTTTTAATACTTTATGCAAACTGAACGTTGGACAAGTTTCTTTACGGTTGTATATGATGTCTTAAGTTTATTTTTATTTAACCTATAGTTTTTCTTTCGGGGCTATTATTATAATTAATAACAACTAAAAATAAACAATTTAATTTTTTATTACTTTACAGATTATTACTCCATTTATATGCTATAATGCATTTCACAATACATATGAAATTTAAAATTCATAACTTTTACAGTAGTGTTATTCTAGAACCCTGATATTGAATCATAAGTATTTGATGAAAATTTCAAGTATTTATGGTTACTTATCCTTTTTTAAGTTATAGCAAAAATCATTGTCGTTTGAAGAAAAACAGTAATATTATACGGATGAATATTCAATATCACAAAAAATTCAACTTCAAACATTCATAAAAATAAATGCGACTTTCCGGTAAACATTTTATTTTTGTTAAATGTAGAAAAACTTAAAAGAATCTTTTATTAAATTTTCAAATCTTCGTTAAAAAATAAAACGTCTTATGAAAAATAGTTTATAAGTTTTCAAAAATAATTTGTTTAATTAAAATTTTCTTAACCTTAAAAACAACTAATTTATAAATTATTTGATGAATTTAATATTATATAGCAACAAAAATAAATAAATAATATTTTATCTAAATTAATCTTTTTACATGTGAAGGAAAGTATTTAACCACATTAAAATAGCACGAGAAAAAATGTAATCATTCAAAAAAAAAAAATGACAACATTGATGTATCAGGGTAAAAATTAGTTTTGTTTTCATGTTATTTACAACTTTCATTTTATGTTAAAATGTATGATAGAAAAAAAAAGAATAAAAATAAGAATTTATTTTTGCCGTAATATAATATATAGTATACCTTAAGTAAAAGGCGAAAGATCTTTACGTTTTGAAAGGAAATCGGAGTAATACCTACCAAAGTTTATACCTTAAGTATAAATAATCATTTTAAAATTATTAATTTATACAATTCAAATCTCATATATTATACAAACATAATTTACCATTCAATTTTATGTAAATGAATTCACATTTCCAGCAAATGATTAAATTTGAGTGTTATAATGTGTTATATATCGTAAGCTTAACTTGATAAGCTTTGATTATATTATTTGGTATTATATAATTATAATTAACTATAACTTATGTCAATATCCAGGATAAATTTTTAAGAGGAACAGTTTATTTTATCTTAGTATATTTCGACCGAATACTGTGTTATAGTCTTAAACATTAGCTGAGTACATTTAAAAAAAATTAAAATAATACGTACACTTTAAAATTAGTTTTGTTTAAGACTAATAATTTATATAACAGATGATTTTACATTAACAGAATTTTGTAGTTCAAATATATATAAATATACTATTATGTAGTTCGATTTTCGATTACATTATATACATTCATGTTAATAATTGTCGTACAAACAATAACAACACAATTTCATAAACAACTTTATTATAATATATTATTTTATTATTTACATCGAAGTAATAATAATATAGTTACTAATAAAAAATAAAGGTCAACATTATTGCATGTTAAGCCTTTGAACAACTTAAACATAAAAAAAAAATGTGTACAAATCAGTCCTTTAAAAAAATACGTGTAAATAAAAACCACTGTCGTTAGACTACAACAGAAATCGACACGTCTATCAATGATGGTAACATAAAATTAATCCTATACTTTACTCTAAAGTTAGGAGAGACTTTGATAGTTACTTGATAAATGTAATTCAATGGTTTTTATGTCGGTATAATATAACATTCGTATCGCAAATAAAATTGAAACAAACAATATTAGTTATAGGACACCTTCGTAGAGTACAAATAAAAACAAAAAGCATATAAATGTCTCTCTTAACTCTTTTTAAAATAATGATAGTTCATAAAATGTATGTAAAATTTACAAATATAACACAATAAGCAAGTAGAGAAAAAAAATTTAAACAAATCAGACGCTTCAATAATCATTTCCGTATAAATAAAGTAAAATATCCTTACGTATAATAATATAACTAAAACACACGTGTTAAAAACTAACCATTTCGGATCACATGTAATTGATAGAAGTCCCGCTGTTATTTTTTGGTTCCGTGGCGATCCACCGCCTTTGGTCGGCCATTGCGTGGTTGTAGTGGTACTGTTGGAGGTTTTGTGGTTGTTGTTTCTGTTGATTTTGTAAATGTTTATCAGAAGAGCGCTGATGAGATGAACCTCCACCACCATCTATGCTGTAAAATGATGACGTGCGGTCCAACGACGTCGGGCTCACACTGTATGCCGTGCCTGGAGGTGCAGCGTGTTTGCCCCGCTTGATGGAATGCGTATAGTCCTTAGTGCCACGTCGTCTCAATGTAAAGTCCCTTTCGCCCGTCACTTGGTACTGTTTTTTCCACTGCACCCAACAATGTCGGTATATTGGGTCTACCGGGCCCCAGTTCCGCGCCGGTTTGATGGTACTCAGGAATTTCTGTGGAAAACAAAAATCAACAAGTGCGTAAAAAATATCATGACATAATACGACCCAGCACCGACGGCAACCAGCAAACCGAACACTCACTTGCGAAAAGTTGTAGTCCACCTGAGCAGATATTTGCCACACAGCTATACCGATAATCATCGACCACATGAACAGATAAACGATCCAACCGATTACGTATAGCCACATGGAATCGTGTGAGCTATAGTCAGACTCTGTTAGCGGCATCACGAACAGACTCCAAAACTCGAACCCCTACAGTGATTAAATTATTCATTAAGCATAATTTATGTTAAAAAATTTTATAACCGGGAAATCATAAAAAAAGGTTTTCAAATGTCTACTATGTATTTCAAATTTCCGGGGATACTTAAAGGAGGTATAATTGAAGGCAAATATTTGCTTTGCAAAAAAATTTACAACAATAACATATTACAGTATTTTAATTTTATGAAGACAAACCTACGGCGTATTCAGGGGTACGTACCATAAACAAAATCGGAGTGCCTAGCCACACAAATTTCCAAACGAAGCACAGTTTATATCCGAGTACAAACTCAAAGTCGTTGGAAAGCGACTCTAACCCGTAAATCCAGACGAAAGCAATCAGTTCCAGTACCGTGGATGTGACTATCATGCGACCAATGATATACTCATCCAATAAGTGCACGGCTTGAAGGTTTTCCTTAAATTCAAAATAGCGTCGATATAATTAATAACATTATTTTAAAGCACTTGCGTCGTTTACTTACGGGCAAAAGGCACAGGACACCCACCAAGAAACCGATAAAACATATCATACAAGTCAATATCCACCATTTCCATTTTTCTTTGGTTTCCACGGATAGTCCTACAATAGCGGTGTAAATAGCTGCTATCTAAAAATCGAGGGAAAAAATTATTAGTTCATTGTTATTTTTGCATATACATCCATGCTCTGATTTTGAATCGTATTTAATTTTTTTTTTATGATGTAAAAACTTTGTTGAATTTTTATTTTGTGATTCAATAAAGTTATAATCACTTAAAATAATTTTATTGCATTATTATACTATGTATTTATTTTATATATTTTTCAATGTTTATCTGATTATGATTACTTTTATTGTGTAATAAAGTACAAGCATATTCCCACTGTTATCAATTATAGATTATCCCACTGTTAGATATTTTATATAATTTTTTTTCTTTCGTGATTTATTATCTTGAAAAAATCTTAGAAAAATTTTTGAATAATTTTAAGACTAATTTTAATATTAAATATCAAGTATTCAAGCAAAATGTAGTAAAAATTATTTTGAAAAACCATTTTATTAATGTTTTTTAGTCGCTTACCAAACTTAAGAATCCGGAAAGAAAAACCAGCGTATAGACCAAAGCAGCCCACATATTAGATAGAATGCCTTTGATCGTCAATTCATACACAAATGTCAAGAACCAGACTTCCGATATGGCTGACGTAGTCGACATTTTCTCTCCAGCTTGTAATTGCACATCATATATCCACATTGTAACAATTGAGACACTACACACGCCGACTACAATGCTAACCACCGTAAGCATTACTGAAGTCCTGTTAATAATTTTAAAAAAAAAATGTGTCAACTTCACTTTATCAAAATGACAATAGAAAAAAAAATCATGCTGGATACTTACCAAAAAGGATTAGACTTTGAGTACAGTCGACCAGCACAAGTTGTGATATTACCAAATCCCAGATGAGTAGTAAACAAAAATTGTACTATGGCGTGATACCAAATCTGAAAAAATAAATATCTGCAACGGTCATACTCTATGTTTAATATATTTAACATTCGCCTCCTACCCAAATTTAAAAAAATTAATCAACCATTTAAAAAAATAAGTTAATAATAAAAAAAATAGTGAATTTTAATTTTAATTTTTTTTTCTATTTGGAGTTTAAGTAAACCAAAAACTATTATGAACTTTGATAATATTAAGCTCTATAATACAGTGATAATAATTATCTAAAATCAAATATAAAAAATATTAATAAAATTCAAAGTTATTTACAGGTTAACAAACATATTGAGATACACTCTACAGTCTAATATATTATTATAACATAATAATATATTTAGAACAGTAGTTTTAATCAGAAATATCAAATAATTAATTTTAAAATATTATAAATTTACTAGATTACTTAATGTTGATGTTTAAGATTTTTTTTTTAAAAATATAAAACCATCATATTCAATTTAAAAATAAAAATATCTTAAGGACTTACGTCTAATTTCCACAAAGTCTCCCATTGAATATCCAGCAGTATTTCCAGTCCTTGTTGATTGGCTTTAAATCCTTTGACCAATAAAACTCCTATTGTTACAAACGTTGCAGGTACGACAAGTAATGCCACTGTTCTGTATGATTTACTGTTTTTTATTAGACTAAAAAAATAATATAAATTAATGGATTTTTGACTGCAATAATTACTTATCAATTAATTATTCAATTTTAGACATCTCTAATTGAGATTAAAGCAAATTACCCCCTTTTCAAACGTAAATTATTTAGTGGATAATTTTTCTGGAAATATTGACGTGTCAGAATCAATAATCAAAATAATATTTTTTGAAAATCAGAAGTTTGTATCGCCAAAAAATACTCCTAAAGTAGTAAAAACAAATACAATAATTTGAAAATGTAGTCTTTGAGTATATTTTAAAATTCTAAAGTTTAGATTTTGAAAAATTGTATTATTAATGAAAAAAGGGGGGCGAGCATTCTTGGTAAATAATGTATATATTATTTAAATTACCCAAGTGACTACGTACATTAAATCACGTAATATAAGTGCAATATTTTTCTAATAATATACCCTTGACCCGTAACAATATTGTTTATATTAAATGCGAAGGTTTAGTCATGTAAACAACGTCGTAGGTTTTAATGAAATAACAATGAGAAAAAGCTGTATAATAATGAAGTCATAGTGTATAATTATCTCAGGAATAAAAGCGAAACGTTTGCGATAGGGATATAGCAATGTTGAGCTATATTAACTATACGACTGTGAATTGTAATATAGCACCTACATATTTTATTTCGTACTTTATAATAATAAAAACAATAGTCATGGGCTAGTTGTACTAAACATCAAAATTTATTTAGCCGTGTAGTCGGTAAATCAATTATGTCGATTTAATTTAATGATTAACAAATAATTTATAACGCTTTACTTTGAAACATTTATTATAATATGATTTTTTTTTACCTTTTTCTTTAACAACGATATAAATGTCAATAAAAACATAGTTTTTTAGATTATAAATATTTAATAAAAATGTAATAATATTTTTGATCAAAATATAGAACATATATCTATACAACAATTATATTGCTTATATTTCTATTTTAAAATAATAGTTATACACAACTTTATCATATTGTTCCAATAACTGATTATTATTTTGTAAATAAACTTAATTTTGTACGCATTTGAAAACAAATTGGGCTCAATTGGTTTAACTGACCGCTAAACATTTTCGACGTGATTAATAAAATAACAAAATAAAAATGTGTACCTTATAGCGGCTATGATCCAAATAAGTAAAATTAGCAAAATGTCCATCACAATCCACTGCCAACCCAAGTGCGGAGGCTTTATAAAAGTCTGCTGAAGACATTGGTCACTGCTGATAGAGTTAGAACTCTCCCCTTGCTATAAATACAAAATAATATTAATGTTCAATATTCTTTAACGATATTAACATTCAATTTTGAAAACCAATTTTGAAAAATCATTATTTTTGAGCAAAATTGCTTGTACTAAAAATATACTATTTTAAACTCACATAAAAGCTGATTGAATTACTACACTCCGGAAACGGAATATTTCCTATTATACTACGTGAGCCGTAAAATAATGATAACGCCATGATTATTGGGTAATATGCTGCAAGTAACATGGACGCTAAGACTTTGACAAACCCGACACCTATAATATTAAAAAAAAAAAAAATTTTCGTAAAATTATAGAAGAAAGTATCTAATGATCAATATTTTATGACAACTATGATATTATAATAAACTATACCTTTGAGCAGAGGTACGGCCCTCCATAGTTTAGTGGTGCCCTGTTGACAAAACTGACCGAGCGTTATCTCCAAAAATAAAAGAGGAACACCGAACACAATGGCAACTGCGAGATATGATACCAAAAACGTACCTATACATAACGAACAATGTCAATCAAATAATTAATAATATTATTTTGTAAGTAAATTAAATAGGTATTTATTTTATGATCGTTTATGAGTAAGTATTGCACATCATAAAAATAATTAATAGCTTTTATTTATTTTCCATCTGTCATCACATCCGTTAATTTACACACTTAATGGTGAGATATACTCGACTTAAATTTTATGCTTAAATTATAATTTTAATAACTTATGCGTTGTTGTTATTTATTATTTAAATTCAGTTTAATTTAAACAGTATATTATTATATATTATACTACGTGCATAGTGCAATTAATTTATTTACATTGATACATTTACATAATTATATAATATGTAAAACATACCTATTGCAATATCCTTCTACTACAAAATTCAAATTTTAAATGTGTATTATTTATAGAAATATTCAAAAATGATGTGTATTGAATTAGAAAAATGCTTTGATTCTAATATTACTACACTATTATAAATAAATAGTATGTTTTGACGTTTAAAAAGTAATAATTTAAAATGTCCTTGTATTTTTGAAAATCTAGTTCTTGATAAAATATAGAGTGATTTGCCAAACATGCTTACCCCTCCCTCTTTTTTCTTCAGTAATGCAGTTATTCAAAATTGACTTTTGAAAATGTTAAATATAATCGAATACAATATTTTCACATTACTTAAAGTGTATCCTGTAGAAATATAAAATTCTGAGTTTCAAATTAAAACCTTCTTTTTTACCGTAAATTATTTAATAGATTTAATTTCTAAAATTTTCGGCGTCTCAAAATTTAAATTCGAACGAATAGTTTTTGAGTTGTTTGACCTTGTTTATTAAAGATAAAAGTTTTATGATAATAGGTTTGGAATGTGGGTGATTGAAAATTGTCATAATTTTTATTTATCTAATAATATTTATATTTTATAAAATCCAATACTTTATCGGTTTTATAATAATAAAAACCATTTTTAAAAACTCTAATCCTTTATACAAATATTTCAAAAACTAAGAAAATAATTGTTTACATTTTGAATTAGATACTTTATATCAAAATTTTCAAAAAATTATCTAATAAATAATTTAAAGTAAAAAATAGGCGGTATTCATTCGAAAAATAGAAGTTTGTATCGCCACAGGGTACTTCTTTAACAATACAAATTAATTTTTTTGGAAGGTAAGCATTGAGCATACATGTTGAATCACTCTGTACATAATCATATTGCCAAACCAAGCTTGTACTGACGACTCACAGATAATAAATTATAAAGATCAAAAACCTTAGTTTTATGCATAGACCACTCAAGTACAATAAATTACGGTGAATCAATCAAAAAAAAAAAAAATCAATAATTAGTGTTTTTAAGCGTACAATAGTTAATAAAATAGATTATACCTATACATTTTATTGCATCCCTGACGTCTTTAAAATAGTGCTGTAGTGTATCGACGGAACAAAGAGAACAGTAAAACAATAAATTTGTAGGTAGGTATATTGAGGAAACTTATCGTCGACCACATAACTTTTTTATATTATAATTACAGTACTACACACTGTATAGCATATTTCAGCGTTATGTGACCAGATAAAAAGAACACTTGTGTGTATATTACACATAATAGTACAATATGATAATTCGTCATTTTATGGTAACATAATATTACGCACTGCAGTTATTTTGTCGCGTTTCGTATACACTTCACGTGGCATTATAAACATATATATATATACAAACTCCACAGTATGTGTATTAACTATATACTAACAATATATTACATACTAAAAATATAATTATTTTATAGTTTTAACGAATATTTTCTCAATAAAATAATTTTGTATGAATGTAAAACAATGGAAGAAAACTTAACGACACGATCGTGAATATGTTCTAATATAACTACAATAATATATGTTGCAGCAGAGTAGCAGTAGCGATAAATTCGTAGATTTTTGGATCAAAACAAAGATAATATACTGTATTGCAATATTTTACAGTTTTAGAGGTACTCACCGCCACCATACAGAAACACCATCCGGGGCAATCGTATGACGTTCGCTAGACTTAATGTCAGTGAGACGGTCATCAACAGCGTGCCAAAACTCTGCAGACAATTTGATTTGCAGCAATATATCTGAAAAAAAAAAACAAAACCGTAACGTTAAAATTTGGTGTGAAAAATCGATAAACGGTTATTTTATAACTATGTATAATATTAATATTTATATTATATATAGGTATCTACTATCTAAATACTATATACATTATAGTTGTATCTGAAAATATTGAACGGTACACTTCTGTTTCGCGGGAAGAAAAACATATTAACCACCGATGAACATTTTGGTGCGTAAATTACAATATAATAAAGTCAGCGCGAAACGATAACCTAACGCTTTTAAGTTATAATAATTGTTGTTGCACCGCCGGCTGCCGTAAACTAACTAATTACTCTGTTTTTAAATCCTGCCCACAGCTATATTTTTGTCCCGTCTAAATACGTTTCCCGATGTCGCGACAAATAATAAACGTTGTAAAAAAATTTTTAAAATTGTTTAGACTCCGCCAACAGTTCTCCCTTGTATACATGATTATAAGTTCTGCTATAATTATACTAATTAGATTTAGTCACAATAAGATAAATGTATGATTACAATAATTTTTCACTGGGTAAAAAAGCTTAAAATTGAAACAAAATTCCTCATAAGTCGATAAAATAATAAAATTATTAAACAATACTCAAGCTTATACATATTCACAATTAATTTTTATATCATTTTAAGTTAAAATGTTGACAAAATTCGTCGAAATCATAAAAGTTTGCAAATAATTTTATAAGTAATCCAAATTTATAAGATTTTCTGTTTTTTTTTTTTTTTTTTTTGTATAGATTGAAAATATAATACGATATTTCTTTTAAATAATTCATAATATAATCAAATAATCTAAAAAAAAAATAATCACAATATCATATATAAATATTTAGTTTAGACAAAATTAAATACTTATTTTAAACAAAAAAAACGATTTTCTTATTATTGTATAATAATTTAAAAATATTATTTGTAGGTACTTGAAACTTTTAATATAATATATCATTATATTGTATTCATGAACTTCAACAATATATCACTACTCTGGCCAAAAATTTCTACAACTCATTGCTTAGTTCAACGGGTTCAATGTACTACAACTTACACGCACAACTACCTCAACGCCGACTAAAACAGGGTCGTTCTCACAACCTTCTTAGTTAAGATTCGTCTGCTCAGATGAAACGTCCAATTTATTATATTAACAAATACTTATTATTAATTATCTTATTTATAATATTTTATACCATATATATAATTACTAGTATTATTGTCTTCTCATTGTATAAACACCATTAATATTAGTTTATCATGTTAAAATAGTCAAAACTCAATGATCTGTATATATCCATAGATGTAGATAGTCTAAGCTAGGAGCATCTTACAATAAAAAAAAAATTAAAAAAAAAAAAAAAATTATATTATATTCACACGGTGACATTTTTAAATGCAAAAATATCGATACAAATTAATTCAACCTTTTTTACTAATAATAAAGTAAATTACTGCAACATTGCAACATAAATAAATAATAAAATACTATACTTATTTATAGATACTTAGTAATATAGGCTGACTAGCCGTCATCACTCAAAATCGTTTTTTGTGTGTAATTATTTACCGTTTAATTCAATCTTAACACATACATTAGAGTGACTTACTCCTCAATGACTAAATACACTCACATCTACTGTAAAACAGAACCATGATTTATTTTCCATCTATTTAATGACTCGACCAAACTGAAGAGTTACTAATGAAACTTAATATATATATTAAATAGTTAATACGTATTTAAACATAAAAATTTGAGCATTGTTTGTATAATATTATTTTCGCTGATAAAGTTATTATTTTAATTTAATTTTATAATTATACTGATGTAGCGATATGCACATATATTATATCATAATATATTAAAATATTCAACCACGCGGACAACGAACACGTCATGAACACTAACGCTACACATATTTTTCGTATAGCTTCTACCGCTAAATTAATATCTTCTATTAATTAAATACAATTAATTGAATGATTTTTAATTGATTACATTTGTATTTAATCATATTAATCAATGGGTCTGCCGACTGCAATCAGTGTGAATATTTCGCATATTATAATAAAATGTTTTTCACGTGTGTCAATTCCTGACTATCGAAAAATACGCACGACAATAATCTCCAGCAATATAATATTATATAATTATGTACATTTAATTGGTATTCCATATGAATTTAAATATCTAAAGCACCACAACGTGGCCGTCAAAGAACACAGGATTAATGTACCAATTTAAGATAATGTGGTACAGTGGTTGTAAAAGATAATCGCTATAGCGTTATTTTACATTTTTTTTTTTATTATTGTTATATTTTTGTCAAGCCCACAATTAGGCGAACGCAGACAAAAAGTATTCAGCGTTCACTCAAAAATCATTGTTCTTTTTTTTTTTAGTTTTTAAGTAAACTAAGATTTAAACTACTCATCACAAACATTTAAAAGAATACTATTTCGAAGGATTTATTTTCATCAATAAGAATATTTTAAAAATTTCAAAAATCTTAATTTTAATTAACGCATAAATTTCAGTGCATACAAGTAGTGTGACAAAAAAATCACCACACTTAGAATGTTATGCGGAACTATCTATATTATATAATGGGTACGATACTTCTGCCACTAAACAACTATAATATTTTGCCAGTCTACTATTTAACGATATTATACAACCAGGGGGCGAAAAATCTTATATATTATAACACACATAATGTTATATAAATGTACGCGTTTTCTGTCAGATTTTACGTAATCGGCGGATCTCTGAGAATCTCTATCACTGCGGGTGCTACCGTACGCTCACGGGTATTATTACTATATTATGCATATTTTTATAATTATATTTATATTACATTATATGTGACACGAAGACGATCCCCTCGGGGCTTGAGGGCCTCAATAGAAATGCGAATTCCGCTGACGCGGTACGACGAAGAAGAATGACCGCGGGCGAAATTAAATTCCAGCCACATATCGAATGCGTACGGTGGGTTCGTGATGTTATATAAATGTAATTCATAAATACAAATAAGAACGTCGTTATCATAGTCGCCTTTTTCGGGGAGACGGCGAATTCCGCACGCCCAAATTGCATAACGGAATACGATCTATAAACGGCACCGTTTCGATATATGACATATAAAACGTATATTATATTATATTATATTATATATATATAAACGTGTAAATTGAGGAAAGATTTGTGTTTTGACGGCCAAACCCGATCGTGACACAAGAAAAATCAAATAATTATAGAAAATTATGTTGTTTTTAGCACTAACCGTGCATGGAGATTAAATTATGTTGTATTATTATTATTTCTGTTGTTGTACGCTGACCAGACGCGTGTGGCGCTGGACGATGACGATACGGTTCGCTAACGATTTGACCGAACTACACAGCAACTAGGTACCATTGGTACCAATATGTATTGTGTTATTGTGTGTGTGTGTGTGTGTGTGTGTGTGTGTACAAGCTGTGGCAGTTCTCGAGAGGAAAAAAAATTGACATGAAGTAATAATTATAAATCGATCCTAGATGTTCTATACAATAAATTACAGTTGTACTATTATATTGTTTTGCCATCGCTATCGAAATATCTAGGTACTCCACGAATGGCGATGCCTGAGTAGTTTATTTCGAGAAACGAGCGACTAGATTTAAGCAGTAATATGTGTTTTTCGTAACTTGAACATTACTAATTTTATTTTTACATTATACATCATATTATTTTAAAAGAACTCGATTGAATTCAAAACACTTGACCTCGCCGCGTACTCAATTAGCTGAATACGAAAATATATTATGTATGATTTATTTTTAAGTACGCGGGTGTACAGACCCAATTCTATGGTACTATACGTATTTATCAAATAACAATACGATTTTTGGGATCCAAAAGAATTAGGTACCTAGTCTGTTTTATACTTCAATACTACATATTATACACATATATCTTTTGTATGGTACCAAAGTAACTTAACCAGCTTTGTTTATACATTTTATTATAAGCAAAACAGATTTTTAACTCTAAACATTCGCGTGTTAGCGTTTAGTTAAATTTTATTTTTATTTTTTTATAAGAAATAGTTTTATTTACATAATATAATATTATGCATATTTTTTTTTGTAGGTACATATAAAACTTTTTTTTTTTTTTAACTACGTATATTCTGATGTCATTAAAAAAAGTTATCACAATAATAAACAATTACATGTATGCAACCAACCATGGTTGGTTTGCAAAAAATTAGTCTTGTGTATATAGATTCTTCATATTATATATATTTACAATCCAAGAATTTTAAGTCGTGTTTAACAATTTACGCGGTAATATTTAGTATATTATTTACAATCATTTCATTGATAACAAGTATAAAAATATTATTTTTAATTTTTACGTCGCAATCCAAAATAAAATTTTGCTAGGTACGTGTATCATTAGTAGACCTTGCAGTACTTTCGCCGGTTAAATATCAAATAAAAACTACTATTAAAGCGTTTAGAATGGATAGTATATAAAAACATTATATATGTACTGTTTTACGTTATGGATCATTTTAAACTAAGCATTTATCATGAAAAATATCATAATTATGTGTATTTAATTTTTTAATTTCCCACGGTTTCTCATACTAAAAATATACTAATTAACAACAAGTTACGTTCACGATTTCATTTTCACCAGTAGATAGCAAATCTACAGTTTTATGAACTAAATAATAAAATTAACTTTTGTTTAAAACCAATTTAAAATAACAATATTGACTAACACAGTAACACGATATTCTATTACACATATTAGTAAATAATAAAAACAAAACAATTCGATATTAAGTAAAATACATGATAAACTAAATACTTTTTGTAAACATTCATTTTAATATGTCGCGTAATATTCCATTTCAATGAAGCAATAAAATATTTTTAAAAATTGATTTAATATTTATGATGAAATCATGAATAACTAATAATACGGTAA